TATCACGAGTGTATATATGTTAAGGTCAATCCTTAACATATATACATCGTTATGGGAAATGTCCCTGAAATAAGAATTAAAAAAGCATGATATTCTATTAGACTTGTCTATTAAATAAATCTAACCATAGTAACTATAATTAATGTAATATTAGCATTATGTCCATGGGACACCTCCATGAAATTATAAAATGCTAAAATAAATTAATATTGACTAAATTATCTCAGGCCTGCTTGGTTTCCAATGTAATATTTTTTGAATATATTAACATAGATGTAACGTACACGTATCTTATAGACATGTAAATATCGACGCATGTACAAATTGTACATATACTGTATATTTAGTTATTGTTATAATTATAGATCAACCAGCTCACAGGAAGAGTCCGTTACTCGTTGCATCATTTTCTATGAGATGTTTTTTATAATAAAGTGCTATAGCCGTAACAGTTCTTCACAATGAATTATGCAGACTATGAAGAAATGCTATCTCTTCATCATGTAGTTTTTTCAGGCATAAACATTTCGTGAATTGCCACTAACATTACATTACATCTATGAATGAGTAAAAGCATGAAAACATGAAGCTATGAGCCTAATGATCTATAGTATACTTACAGTTACTACGGTAAAGGCTGCTGGTTCAATATTGTGGTCAATTACCAATGCGGCACCGTATTTATTTTGTGTCAGTAGATTACTAGACATTATACGTACAGTATAGTGATAGTTTAGCGTCTTTCTGGCTTTAACACAAAATGAATTGAACAAGAAATAATACTAACAGTATAATTTTAATGAGCGTTTCCAGTATATCATCATCATCAGTTAGTATTATTCTTGGTAACGCAATCAATTGTTAGTTTAGATATCATAGATATGACAATAAGGTAGCATAGTCTATTTTTTTCGAATCAAAGTTACACCATCTGATACGGTTAACAAGACAAATTCAACACGTTCATCGTCTTTGATGATACTATTTAATTTACGAATGGTTGTAGTACTGCCATCGTTAATAGACTCATCTGCTACACGACCTCCCCATATTGTGTTGTCGATAGCAATAATACCATCTTTTCTTAATAACTGCAGTGATTTTTCATAGTAGTTAATATAATTGGGTTTATCTGCATCGATAAATATGAAATCGAAGGTACCAGATTCATTATTGCCAAGCATTTGGTCCATGCTTTCAAGAGCTGGTCGAATTCTTATATCGATTTTGTGATCAACACCAGCTTCCTTCCAGAACGGTCTGCCAATATCAACAAATTCATTGCTAATGTCTAAGCCAATTACTTTACCATCACTAGGTAAAGCAAGAGCCATTCCAAGTGTAGTGTATCCAGTAAACACACCTATACGTATTGTAAAGTAATCAAGAGAAAGCTATTATATTCGCCTGAAAATATGTGTTTGTCAGTGAAGCACAATATCCATTGCCGATAAAACGCAACATACTTGTATTTCATACAATTTAACAAAGCTTTGAAATCATCGTGATTATACTGGGATATTAATAGTCATCATCAAATACTACAACATCATGATGCCGTAGAAGGAAGCTTATTGTAGTAGGAATATTTGGCAAGGGATATTAACTTGTGTTAAAAGGAGATATATCACACTTAGCACAGTCTCAATACACTCACTACGTAAATTACATTAATCTCAAATAATGAGCATCTAATAGTCACAATTTTAGATAAGTATGTTATTTTAGGATATTAGCAAGCAAATTTCAAGACTATCTTCACAGGTAAACAATTTAGCCTAGACTAAAGCCACTAAGATGGTTATTTTAACATGCGGCATTGAAGATTAAAGGATAGTAAAATTATCAGAGGTATTTTTATTCTAATGCGTTGATAAGCAATCCCTTAGCAAAATATGTAAAATACGAGCATCATACGTAACAGCTTTATTGAACTATGCAAATATAAGTTATTAAGCGAATACTACACAGGATCAAAGATTGCGTTATAAAACTCTTTGCCGTAGCCATTTTACGTAGGCTAATATGTGCTCGAAAGTAAGTCATTGGAAACTTTACTGATTTCAACTTGCAAATTACAATCTATAAATGAAGTCAGTGCAAGTATTCTTACCGATTTCTAAAACCTTCTTTGCATGAATCAATTGCAATAGAAACTGCATCATGGAAACTTCATCTGGTGTTGCAGCCATGATTGCCAGTGGATGGTCGGCTGATTTGTCACATAAGCGTTGCAACACTGGATGCTTTCGGAAGCCATACTTCAATACATACTGATAAATTGGAGATTCAGGAGGGATTATCATTTCGAAATTTCCTTGGAATATACGGTTAATCGAGCTTCGCAACCTATATTTTTCTATAATAACAGAACACGTTGCACAAGGATTACGCGATAATTTGCCAGTAAATTACAGTTGTATGTTTAACACTCTAATGATGTCTATAATTACACAGTAATTATGATAATTGCAATTGCAGGTGCTGTAGTATGCTGAATACAGTTGTTGTTAAGTATCTTCAGAGACTTTGACATAAAGCATCAAGCCTTGTCTTACGTATCGGAAAAAAGAAACTATCGATTGCATCCTATGAATAACACCATGATAACATAGACTTCTTTTTGATGCTATGTACGCGTATTTTAGAATTTTTTCTTGTATCATACTGTGAAAATGATGACTGGTAAGGATATAAAGTAAATCTTGTGATTATTAAGTGTAAATAATACTTTACTGCAGACATTGCTACCGAACTAAATCTGCCAGAAGTGGTTTATGTATTTGGACAACGACAAACTTTAGTCCCATCCACTTTTTTTAGGTTCTATAAACACTCATAAGGTAATTACTGTTATACAGTACAGAGAATTAATTCAAATGTTGGTGCAATTTACCGATAGATAAAGTCTATCTTGCCTTTGTCGGTGGTGATTTGCAACTGTTTGTTTTTACGAGTATTGTGGAGTCTCAACTTCTCAAGATTATCAGATGCTATTTCTACGTACCTATAGATCAGGGGTTGCTAATATGAAAGAAAAAGGGCGTAAAACAAGCGTTGACTATACTAATAATGTGGAGGCCGATTATTTTACTGGTCATTTCAATTGTACCGCATGTCGGCATACTATCCTGTCCGCAAATTGACATTCAAATCAGCTGCAAGGTTGGTTTTGTGTAGTTTCATTAGTACCGTATAGTAGAATGGCCGGAAAAATGATAGGCCTCCCCATTATTTTGTACTAACAGCCGTTTTAAGTCACCCTTTTTTTCCTTTCCTTTCAGTAGTTCTTGGTAGAGATGTACATGTATGATCGTTGCATTTGCATCGACATTACATATAATTATGTTAATTATTATTATCAATTGTCCTACGTCGACTAGACTTGTCATCAACATATGAGATTTAAAATATTTAGAACCTTTATGATACTATGCTGTATTAAGCATTTATTATCACCCTACGCAATAATGTAGTCAGCCAGGATTGCCGCCTTGTGATGTTACTGTAATCAAAATTACCATCAATGGCTAGTGGCGCTACAATATGATTTTACTCATTCGCTACCTGCTGCACTGGATATGTTAGGGTTAGTGTAGAAATCGGTAATCGTATAGAATAACCGGTCAGCCTATTCGTTCACCATCTTGTCGGTTATCCTATACGTTCACCGTAACATATATGCAGTAAATTGAACGATTAATCGATCTCTAAATTGGTCAATGACTTGACTGTTGCAAAACTTGTTCTCAATTTACACTCCATTTGTTAACATTGTTGATAATTTATTATCCTCTCTATCGAAGCTGATACAATGATCATTATCATCGTGTCGGCAGTGATAATACTAATTTTCTGTAATTTGGCCTTAACTTGCGGTAAGAATAGAATGAATAATTTTACTTGATCTTACCTTTTTCACCAAAAGATGCCGCCTAGGGACGAAAGGTTTGTGTGGAAGGAAGAGGTCTACCCAGAGCATTAAGTGCAGTACTACACCATGACTACTTTATATTACTGTTAGTTACAGCAGGTCTGGCCGGCAACCTCGCTTTCCCCATTTTTGAGGATAGGAGGTCCAGTTGTCCGAATATCCAAGAGTACTCTAATAATATCTCAAAAGCAAATTTCTTGATTCCCAAGTTTTAATCGGAAAAATTGTCATTAACTCAGTAGATGGACCATCGAGGTACAAGGGAAAAATTCCCTGTACCTCTATGAGCTGCACTGCATCATAGAGGTAAAAAGGGAAAGATTCCTTGTACCTCTATGAGCTGCACTGCATCATAGAGGTAAAAAGGAAAAATTCCTTGTGCCTCTATAAGCTGCACTGCATCATAGAGGTAAAAAGGAAAATTCCTTATACCTCTATGAGCTGCACTGCATCATAGAGGTAAAAAGGGAAAATTCCTTGTGCCTCTTTGAGCTGCACTGCATCATAGAGGTAAAAAGGGAAAATTCCTTGTGCCTCTTTGAGCTGCACTGCATCATAGAGGTAAAAAGGAAAAATTTCTTGTACCTCTATGAGCCGCATTGCACCATTCGTAAACGTCGATTTTATGTTTTCATTCCTGGACTACGCACAGACTCGGTCATAGACTACGAAAGATGTCCGCAATCATGGACATTTGTGCTATCTATCACTGTACCTAGTATTCTATGCTAATGATAGCGCGTAGTCAGGGGCTTCTTAATACTGCGTCTTCCGCTGTGCTCAGAACAGTAAAGGTTGTTTTTACTATTATTGATTGATTGATTGATTTTATTTGGTGGTACTATATCCCCCTAGGGCTTCCTTCTTTCACAGCAGCTGCCTGATTGGATACAGTTTGTAGAACAAAGATTGACGAAGGATGTATATCAACTGACTGTTCGCAATCCGGCTCAACGAATGCAGTTTTCAGCTCCATCAACACCAAGTCGCCAACTACTGTACAAGTGTACATTATTCGCAAAACAGGGATATAGTAAAGCTTTCCAGTTATCCACATCGACCGAAAATGCTATTTCCATCAGATTGTTCATTTTATAAATACGTATTAAAGAATGGCTATCGTATTCACCCTATATCACAGAAATTACTCGATGAAACAATTAAACATCCTATGCGGAAAATGGCTGCCTCCGCTGATGAAGTGGCTTTCTTTCAGTTTTTGCTACCTTTAATCCAAGCTAAGAAGGTCATAGAAATCGGTAAAGGATTTATCTTGAATAATTCCGTGATAGGGATAGTCATTTGATTGAAATGAACACTTCGCCCCGTTTTTAGACTATCGACAGAAAGTGGGCTAGAAACAGCTAAAACAAACAAGTCTAATAGACAGTAGTCTCGCAAGTGCACTTCAATCTTGTCATACTTGATATTGACAGGTCTAAAATTGAAACTTGTATCTGTTGCTATCATGACCTTAAATTCTCTTTAACATGGTTTTAGTAGCAGTATTGTAGAGTACAGTTATTGTATGATATCGTCAAAGAACAGTATTGCTAAGTAATCTTCTGTATATTGGATTGATAGGCGTTTTTACAGGATTGACTACACTTGGCATGGCATTTGCTCTACCTGATGACGCCAAAATAGTTGGCTTAGACGTCAGTGAAGAGTATGTTAATATTGGCAGGCCGTTCTGGAAAGAAGCTAACGTCGATCACAAAATCGACATTAAAATTGGATTAGCACTCGAAAGTCTCGATCAGTTAATTGCAAATAACGAATTGGATAGTTACGATTTTATCTTTATAGATGCAGATAAAAGCAATTACATCAACTATTACGAAAAATCATTGCAATTAATCAGGAAAGGTGGTGTTATTGCTATCGATAACACATTATGGAGTGGTCAAGTAGGAGATGAATCAATTACAAGTACTACTTTAACGTCTATTCGCGAATTCAATAACCATGTCAAAGATGATAGTCGCATTACATTTGTGGTCTTGACTGTGTGTGATGGTGTTACTTTGGTGAAGAAAAATTAAATGCAGTATGATTGTGCTGGATTTGTATTACACTTTTTTTAGTTTTGCATTGACTGTGCTGTATGCATGATTAAGTATACTACACTGCTAGCTCAATTTTGTTCAATTAATTATACAACAAATATTTACAATATAATCACTGTAAAATATGTTCTGTATCAAGGACTACTGGAAAAAGAATCAAGATTAAAATCGATTCTTTTTCCAGTATTCCATAGCTGTATGCAGTTTTATAACACTGATACAGCATTTTTAAATTTAAGACTACTGATCACTCACTAGGCAGCGATATTTTACTTTGCTTATAAATAACATACCAAGATTTACACAAACGTGATATATTTTACATTTTGTAATACTGATATTGCAGTATTTGCAGATGAATAGAATAGAAATTCTCGGCTTCATGATATCTGAGCTGCAACGATGGTGATATACGTACATAGACATATAATATGTATATACTAGGGTTTAATCAATAATTGCATTATTTCATTAATTTATCTATTAATCCTGATAAATTGTGATTCTTTTCATACAGAACCAAATAGTAAAAACGTTGAGGAAAATAAAAAAAAAAAAATACATTAGTACAGTGCTGTACTGATTCATACGTGTTGTGATTTGAGTTTATTTTAGTGTCAATGTTGAGATTCTACAACTACGATTTCAAGTAGAATAGATATATGAAATACTGAATGTTTTGCTGTATAGGATGTGGTAGGGATCTTAATAGTGATGTTGCTCTTTCGCTGCAATAATACACTGTGGTATAGAAATTGCCGATTTCTGCTCGGGTAGATGGTATTTTGTACAATTCCAAAGTGTCCTTTTTTATCTGACACTACAAATCATTGCAAGATTTAGTATACCAGTTAACATCATGAGAGACATGAGTGAGACTAATTAAACCTTTTTACAGCTAGTCGAACCTTGTCACTTTCCGGTGTTTGTTGACAAGTATTTTTTTAGCTAGTTAATCGGCTAACTGGCCGAACGAAATTTCTTAGCCATTTAGCTGTTCGCTGTCAACGAGAGGATGACCTTTAGTAAGTAAAACCATTAGTATTACACATTACAGCCACTAAATATCTAAATCTATTGACAATCTACGCGTAATTTAAATCTTTTGAAAGCATTTTCTAGGAGATGCAATGGTATATCAGTCAAACGGTAATATAGTTTGTTCGAATATATGAATTTCATATCATATTAAAATTCTGCTTGTATTGTGATAATACTTCTAACCTACTAATAGACTAATAGTGAAACCATGGCCATTACTTGGTAAGGTGCTGTCCGATGAATGATTTAAGGAGATTGGCTCAAGTGTTCAATCTTACAATGGAATTTACAGGAATTGTCCAATTTTGACTAAGCAAGTCCATAGCATGATTTCAATTATTAAATTATCCCATTTGATCAAACACGTCCGATGCATGATACAAGTCCATCAATTAACAATTATTATTATAACTAGCCGATCCCTCAGTCCGCATATACAGTACTGAAAAGTGCTCACACTCATGTAGGCAATTTTTGCAAATTACTATCTCTGTCACTTTTCTCCTTGCCTCTTTTACCAGATCAGGCGGAAAAAAACCATCCCATAGTACCCGATGCTGTAATATATTGCATGTTCAACAGCATGCTATCTAACCTACGGGACATAATGCAATCTTGAACACCATTACTGTTGCAAATGCAACAAAATCAACAGCGATGATGAAGGATCCCCTAGGCAATTTACCGCCACCATGTTAAAGAGAACAAGTTTCAGGCTTGCTCCGCACAGTTCAAAGTTCAGCGAATGGTCCAGGAATATACTGTACACTGTACAGTGTAGAGTACAGTATGAACAGGATTACAGTGTACAGTACCGTGGCCATACGGTACTGACGGTAGAGTACTGTACTGAATTCGTAAACTGAGCTGGCTTGCTGCATGTGATGAGAGAAGAAACCAAAACATCTCGAAGGAAAGCTAACGTTGGATATGTTCGCTCTTTTAGCAACGAATAACTAGCACAGGTAAATATTCTCGTGTTTTTTTTTCTATCTATGCCTCTAGTTTGACTGTATAGAAAGGAGTTCTGGTTTAAAATTGATGAGCTCTACTTTCTGCAGTTGCAGCAGGAGCTATTGTAGTGGACATTTATTAATCATCGCCAAATGTTTGCAAGTTAGCTCAAACGAGCTATCGCATGTGCATTGTGCAACCGGATCAACCGTTTTTAATAGTCTGCACACTAGTCTCCAGTGTACGTAAACTACCAAAATTTCGTGATCCTTTCGTGATGTGACGTCCAAAATAAATAATAGTCGACAAAGGATTTAGCTATTCACGATAGAAATAACTAAAATGAGCTTGTACAGTAGAGAGATGGTAGAAAATGACAGACTGGCAAACACGACCCAGAATCTTTCGTCTTGTGGACAGTACTCTATAATACAACATCGAAGGGAAAATGGGATATACAATACGAGTATTTCTGTTGATATAATCAATCAATTACCTATTGGGAGCTAGATGCTGTAGACAGAACTGATGACGCAGCTTTACTTGCAAAATTTTACCTTTTGAGCCTATGTTAGTCCTTGGTCAACCTCGATAAGGCTGCGATCATAACAATATGGAGATCTAGAAATAAATTCAGCAATTGTAGTAAATAGTGTAAGTCATGTACTGCTCTATTGTCTTCGTGCACTGTATGCTGCGGATGTCATAATTTGAATACTATAGTATGTTGCTTTTTTAGGTGCTAATTCTGTATGATTGCTAAAGCAGTATATTTTACTATTATTATACTAGCAATCTCGATATTTAACAATAATATTAATATCATATCGGTTCCTTGACATCTAGCGTGCTAGCTTGGCTTCATATTGCACGAGTTCAATACCTTTCAATATTTAACTAGTAATTACAGAAACTAACTACGTACAATGTTACAAGATAGAATCGTTGCTTATTAATTATAATTATTAAATTATTAATCAAATTCGAATCACTGAAATAAAATGATGAACGATACCTCTACTGCACAGACTACAGTATTAGAAATAACTACGACACATAAATAAACAGATATACATATAATTCATTGCTATCTTCCAAGTTGTTGCATAAACTAGACTGTTAGCATTGTAGGTAGGCAATTTACTGGCGAATACCTAAATAAGAATTTTCGTGTAACTTTAATATTTGACGTCATTCTCAAATATCAGTAGTTCCACTTATTTATTATACATACAATACGTGCTATCGATATTTATTGAACGCTGGCTTTATAAATAATAGAAATAATCAGTTATGAAGACACGTTCTGGAGGTCCACAGAGAAATCGATATTCTCCATACTTTCGTCGTAAATCTTCGAAAAAGAGAGAAAACGTATTAACTACACAGGAAAAGAAGCGTCTGGATAATGTATCAAACTCTCTCAATGATAAATTTAGTTGTGTTAAGGTTCACTATGTTGCTAGTACTTTATCAGCGAGTTCTAGCGATAGCGAAGTTGATGAAAGTAAGGAGCAAATTTGTACTGAGCCAGAGTTAGACAATCAGAGTTTGCCTGCTTCTGTGACTAATGTTGAAAACAGCAAAGATGCGAGCAACTATGGTCAAAACAAAGATGAAGCAACATTAGAATTTAATGTTGACAACGTCACGAACGCGAGAAAAAGTAGAAAGGAATTAACTTCGCCAGCAAAACAAAGAAAACGAGGTAGAATGCCTAAATCTTTGAGAAATAAACTGATAACTACTTCGCAAGAAGAGAAGGCTCTCTTGGATCCGAAGCGATTGAGTGATACTCAAGAAGAGGAAACACCCCAATCCGACAATAAAGAGGAATTGTTGAACCCAGACCTGTCTGATGATGATGATTTTATACCGCTTAATAATAGAAATTCTAATGGAAAACAGAAGCGGAATAGCCGTAAAGTAAACCGTACTAATGTAAAGCGCACTTATGGTCGTTCTGGTTTAGCGCGCAAATGCAACAGTAAGGGTGCTCAATCTGCAACCACCGGGGCAAACTTAACAGATGAAGACGACGAAGGGATGCCGATTAACCCTACGAATAAACACAACGTGTCTTCTAGTACAATGGTTAACGATCCTGCAAACGAGAGTGATAGCGATATAGAGTGGGAAGATGTGGATCACGGTTGTCATGAAGGTCTTTTTAATGTGTAAAAGATTTAGTCCTCTCACGGAGTAAATTTTTTAAATTGATTTAAATACCGATTTTTCGATCTATATTTCGATGTTATTTAGTTGACTTGACCGAAATTGAAAAATCTCACGAAAATAGCTCGATAAGCAATAAGATTGAGCCATCGTTTAGCCAAGAGGAAAAAAAGACAATTGAAATTGATTTAGCGCCTAAGAAGAGACAACGAGCGTACGAAATTAATATTTGATTTGCTTTGTGTCATCACTTGCTTAATTAGTCAGTAGTTCATTTATTCTGAACCCTTTTCTATCAAATTTCTTACTGCAGTGAGAATAATGCGCAAAAATATCTTATGCGAATGGTCAATAGATTTAGTCGTGATCTACGTATGAATATACATAAGGTGGGCAAAAACTGCTATACGAAGTAATCACTAGTATTTTCCGCAAGCTATGGACCTACCTACGTACTTGTATGCTCTTAATTTTTAAAAATTACTGTTACTGCAATAGGTACATGCTTTGCTTCTTATCGCTAGTGGATTTCACAGAAATCGTTTAACTATGGAGCCTCTAGTCAAGGTTAAATTAATTCTTACAACAATCTAGTGGTTTCTATCGCTAGATTTAATATGCATCTTTGATGTTATTCTCAGGCGATCTTTCTGTCGATGATTCCTAGCGAATTCCTAGTGATAAAGTCTGCAAAATGGAATATAATAAATTTAACCAATTGCTTGAACTGGTTCCGAAGTGCTTTTGAAATTAGTAGAAATTACAGATTACCAGCTTTGAAACAAGGGGTAAAACATTATGCTATCAATTTCATTGGATATGCACAGTTTATCCGTAATAGTATGAATATAAACTCAAGTTACTATATTATCCAACGTGCTTGAATTATATATATATATATATGTAATATGTGATACCAAAATAGCGTAATTACATAATTTTAACCATGACTAATTTGCATTTAAACGAACGTCCTAACCTGATATCTTCTGCGTTTACTGACAAAATCTTTAACGAATTGTGCTGTTTACATTGGTATTACTTTTTAGGAGTTGGTTAAAAGATTAGAAAAGAGAAAGTTATCTGTTCAAGACTACGTGCACGTATGGCATACTTGCGATAACTAATTCTCATTCGATAGTGTAATTCGCGATATTGGTTTCAATAGTCGTTATGAATTCTCTTTAGGCTTTTATAGCTGTACTTCGAACACTTATGCTTCCTACTCGTCTTGTCATTTCTCTGAAGGTAAAGCTAATTTTTAAGTATTGCTAAGGTCTCAATACAGACGATATGTTATATTACGTGCTAATTTTGTAATCTACATGTAAATATGTCAAGGTGCTGTTACTTTTTTTGATTTTTTGGAAATTGTTTATTTCCTTAGGCTATTCCATTTAAAGAAGTTAAAGCTGATGTGGTATGCGCTAATTGCCAATGATTGAATACATCAAAGTTTTAATACTTCTTACGTTATATGAAATACAGTATCCAATATATGCTAAACTTTCTACTTGCTTATACATAATTCATTGTACTACATGTAGAGCATTGTGGAAAATTCCTCTATCAATATTGATAAAACTAGTACACCTAATAAGAGTGGTAGAAACGAAACAATCCCTAAAGAAGATCAGCTAGACATTGCTGCCCTCTTACAGAGTGACTCGGAAACTGAGCGAAATATAAAACCGTTAATTAAGACGCCTGCTAAACGACGTGGACGTCCAAATAAAAGTGCTAAAAAGAAGATTGTTAAAGTTCAAAATGAAGATGAGCTTTATTCAACTCAAAGACCGGCGCGAAAGTGTAAAACAGCTGTAAAGAATTTAAAAGAAGAATGTGAGGATGAAGATTTTGCTAATTCTAGTGACTCAGATTTCATTGAGCAAATGAAATTTAAAATGTCGATTGTTCGGCGAAAACAAAAACCTACGAAAAGCAAGGATACTATTTTAAAGAAACAGCCAAAATCAAAAAACTGTAAAGCTGCTGCTTTTGAATCTGAGAATGGGCCATCGAATGAACTGATATCTCCAGTTAATAGTTGGATAGAAGTTTATCTAAAATCAGAGAAGAGATGGATTTGTATAGAGTGTATAAATAATAGCATTGACAAACCAAATTTAGTTGAAAAGACTGCTACACAACCGTTGACCTATGTAGTTACCTTTGATGATAATGAAAAATTAAGGGATTTAACTAGCCGCTATGCTGACCGATGGTTGATTTATAATCGTAAGTTACGTCCTGATCAGCCGTGGTGGGATGAGACAATGGCATCGTATGAGCCATCTGATAAAAAGGCAAATAAAAAAGAAGATGAAGAGTTACTAGAGAATCTACGTAGTAAACCAATGCCTACTACTATATCTGATTTCAAGAATCATCCATTATATGTATTGAGAAGGCACTTGTTAAAGTACGAAGTAATTTATCCAGAAGATACTGAACCCGTTGGAGAAATTCGAGGGGAAGCTGTTTTACCTCGGGACAGCGTATACACGTTACATACTAGTGAATCTTGGTTTATAAAACATGGACGATCAATTAAGAAAGGTGAAGAGCCTGTTAAATCTGTTCCCGCGAGAATATTTAATCCTAATAAAATTGCTGCTATTGGTGCAGCTACCAAGATGAATGATTTATACGGATTATGGCAAACCGAGCAATATCGACCACCGCGTGCTAAGAATGGTAAAGTGCCTCGGAACGAATACGGAAATGTAGAGGTATTTTTCCCTCACATGATACCCCCTGGGACTGTACATATGAAAATTCCAAATTTAAATCGCATCGCTCAGAAACTTAAAATTGATTGCGTATCAGTTGTAACTGGTTGGGACTATCATCGTGGGCATGTTTATCCGGTCACTAATGGATATCTAGTATGCTGTGAATTCGAAAAATTACTTTTAGATGCTGTACGAGAAGAAGAAATGGCAGAATTGCAACAAATACGGAAGGTATACGAGTACCTAGTTTGTAAGACTTCTTTACATTGTCTTGTTGTCGTTTGTTATTACAATAGAAATTTTGTATCGCACAGGCGAAGGAGGAACAGATTTTAAAGCGTTGGAAACGACTCACGAAAGGATTACTGATAAGAGATAAGCTCCAGGAAAAATATAGCCTAGATGTAAGCCATAATTTATATTAACTTGTCGTTAAAGCCTTTGTGTAATCGACTAAATATATTGACGCTTTCTGCTAAATTTAGAGTAAAACTGCTAGCCTGAAGAGTTATAAGAGACAACGCTTATTAAAGCATAAGAAAGGTATGCTCTATATTATTAAGCAGCAGCAGTGTGAAGTGTCTAACCTAATTACAATGGCTTTGTTAAGCCTTTCTAAACTACTATACAGTATTTTCTACCGTAGTTAATGTTAATATTTATAAGATTGGATTAGGTAATAAATTAATTTATAGCCAATGTAGTAATAAATGTGCACATATCATAATTTTACTAATAAAAATTTACGTTGCTTACAATTTCTAAGTTCTTTGATTCTTAAATATGATTTAATGTTTTATTTACCAATATTCTAGAAACTTTGTAATGCTGGTATGATGGCAAGTTGTATGCACACTGTAAGTACCTTATAAGTTTACTGCACTTGTAAATTTTAATCGAGATTATAAGGATTAGCTTTGGCTACACCAATATGTAATGTACATAAATGCTATTACGACAAATAATCCATGCTTATGAAAGTTTTCAAAGTTCTGTTTTTGTTGATTCAATTGAAATGTGATACGCCTTTCGTATCGATTTAAAATCGAAAGTATTGACTCAATTAGATCACTGATATATGAGCACATACAAAATTCTTGTCACTCTTTTTAATTTTACTACTCAAAATCGAGAAATGCACTTAAATAACTATTAGGATATCTGGCAGTATACTTGATAGAAAAATGATACGATTCTTAAAGATCACTTTGACAGAATTTTGGCAATTTAACGATCTTGCCATTACCTGTAAATAATGATCTTTTATGTCTTATAATTTGTTGTGACGTCAACTGGCAGAGCTACTACGTGCAATAAATCTCATTTAAATAGGAACAACAATGTGCCTTGTCTGTGTCTGCATACTCTTACCAAATATAACATCACAGACCAAAATTTCAGCTACGAAACTGCACTTTATTAGTGTAGAATAGTTTAGCTCTATTCAATCAAGTTTGCTCGTTTTTGGTGGATCTATAGTTGTTGATCACAGTTTTAGTTTAGATTTTAATGGAGAGTAAATATTAATCTAGATTTAAAACAGTACATAGTACTGTCTATAAAGTTGCCCACCAATCGATTTCGTAATTGCTAATAAACTGCTTATACTGGAGTTAAGAATTAAACACTGCACGAGTCGTCATGAACCGTATTTACAGCGACAATATCTGGCACTACCGAATGGCAGCATAACTAATTTTGGCGAAGGTTAATTCGGTTGGTAGGTGTATACATAAACGATTGCAAATAAAGTTAACAATATTAATTTATAAGTCTTTCTAGTAGGATAAATATGCTTAGATGATATACGACGATAATATCTGATTAACAATAGCAATAAAACTGTATTCATTACTTGATTCTCAGCACACCATGTTAACATACAGCAATTGAATCCGTAATATGTATGGAATCCATGCTGTAACACATAAATACTACGAGTTATATAAGCTAGTTTATAGTGAAGTTTAGCAATACTGGAAATTGAAGCGTCAGGAGTACAGTTACTGAAAATAATATTTGTCACCTATTATCTGATACAGTAAAGTTAGATTACAGAGTCCAATTCTCAATAGATATGTTACGCATGTAAGGAGCGCAATATTATTATCAATACTATATGAAGCAAACGCATCTATACATTACAGTGCATGAGTTATACTTAATAAAGAAGGCTTAATAATCGACCTACATAAAAGAAATTTTCTATCTTGATATCGATACACATCATAACAGGATAACAACAGTTTGCAATCGATACGAATAATTATTTCTTCTTTTTTAGCTTTAATATTCGGTGATTCATCACTATATTTCATATGCACGTGTATTCTATTCATAGGTTTCAATCCATTTTCCATGATACTTCGTAAATTCTTTTTTTCAGTGATATGCCAGCAAAATTGATGAACTTTCAATTCTATTTTAAACATTTTTTCGTCAGATAATCTTTCAGCCAAGCTTTTATTGTGACCACTGTTAGCTTTAAGAAATTGCACCCCGCTATCACATTTTAATGTAAAACGACAGGGATCCAACTGATCGAGATATTCTTCTAAATTTGGAACGAACCTAGATAACTGATCCAGTGGTACAAAACCTTCATCATCAATGTCGAGGTTGCTTTTTGGGATAGAATGACGTAAAATATAGGACAAAGTTTTGGATACATTTAGCAAACCCATAAAGACTCATCAAAGTTGAAATCTCTGCTTACGGTTTTGGTGATAAAGCGTTTGACTTAAGTACATCGGAGAGGCAATTTAAAACTTTACCTTACCATACTATTCCATGCTTTTATTACTGTGATAGTACTGAAATTGAAACTGATTCCGTAATGAATGTAAATGCCGAGTCAGCATTTACTGAGTGAATGATGATTTTGGGCTAGTATCTAGCTCAGGATTACACCCTTTACAAACCCAATTATCACCCCCTGTAAGTATGAACTGTAGCGAGTTTGGTTTGTACTGTACTCTACTGTATATTCCGTATATTATATAGCTTTAAGTTGGCAAATTAGGGTTTATGACTACATTATGTATTTCCCATCGGTTCCTCACAAAGCACAAAATGTATCAACGACAAATGGCTTATTATGATCGAAATATATATATATAATAATAATAATTTTTACTACAAGTTTACAATGCGATCCACAACACAGTAGTTGACTAAGAGTACTACTACATGATAATAACACTCATGGTAGGTTTACATAAAGGAACTAGCAAACACTCGCTCGCGTCACTGCCAGCGCATTAGTGATACATAATACATTTCGAAATTAGTAGACAGCATGACAAATAAAGGCCTCTGTGCAGTATATTTACTATTTGCTGCATTTAGAAGTCTAAAATCGTTAGTTAATATGCTGCATGTGTCGTAATTGTTAACTGTTGTACCACTTCATCGTTATAATGTACTGTATCAGTGCAGTGCACGGCTTGCAAGAAACAATATGTTTTTCAATATGATCTATACCAAATCTGTATATGCAGTAATGCATGAATAGGTTAGCAGCGATCGGAGTATGTTTATGGAATGGAACAGATAGACTAAAGAATAAACGTCTTTATAAATGTTACCTCTAACTACCTATTAATCTACATAATATCATGTTATGCTATAGTGCTATATTTAAATATGTTGGTAGCAGTACGTATTTATTAATTTAAACTCATGTAAAAATAGACGCGCATGTCTAATTATATTAGTTAACCTGTGACTACAATACTCAACATTGATAGCATACGTTTATATGTCACATATATTCTAATAACGCTATTCACGACAATACATATAGACAACAACATGACTATCATTATTCAATTAATCGAATTCGAGAATAGAATTGCAGTGCCTATTTCTTGCGCACTAAAGTAACTCCATCAGCCAAAGTTAGCATGCTAAGTTGGACTCGATCATCATGTAGTATGGTTTCATTCACTTGACGAATAGCTTGTGTTGATGCATCATTAATGGATGGATCTGCTACGCGGCCGCTCCATAATGTATTATCAACAGCTATAATGCCATTTTGCTTTAGTAGTTGCAAGGATTTTTCATAATAATTACTGTAGTTGGTCTTATCCGCATCGATAAAGATAAAGTCAAATGTCCCACTTTCGCCGTTGGCAATGAGTTGATTAAGACTATCAAGAGCAGGTTGTAATTTAAGGTCAATTTTGTGTTCCACGTTAGCCTCTTTCCAAAATGGTAAAGCAATATCTGTAAATTCATTGTTAATATCTAATGCAACGACTTTGCCATCATCAGGTAGTGCCATCGCCATACCAAGTGTAGTATAGCCAGTAAAAACTCCTAGATAAAATTCAAAATTATTGTACACTTTAGAGATTGACTATTTCACTGTCAATAATAAGAGTTTATGGTCAACCATTCTATGAAATGATTATCCACTTTAATATATACCCACAACACTGTACTCCTATCCTTTCTGGGCTATTGCTATATTAATTTCTGATCAGATGAAGTTGATCGCACAGTATCTCATGGCAGTCCTTGTTAAAGAATCCGATAGATGATTTTATTTTTCCTATCCTAAACTACTGCTATCTATTTTATAGAGGTGATCCAATAGTACTATGGTGAGTCATTCAATTTGGCTAGAAAATGAATGTATCCTACTGTACAGTACAGTATATGCTTACTGTCAAAGCAAAACAGCATACTTTACTGTGTATTAGCCCGTATTATATTCACTGTTAGAATAGAAGCTTGAATGAGGTCGTGCAGTACACAAAGTTCTCTATCCAACCGAATGTAACGTACAATATACTTGAATCATGCTATGATTTAGATTCCATTCCACATGTACGAGTATGTTATAGAGATAGTTGACGAAGTTGCTTGCCAGTCTAGCAATACTTACCAATTTCGATCACTTTTTTAGCATTGATTAACTGCAATAAGAGCTGGAAGAAACCAACTTCGTCAGGTGTAGCAGCCATAGCACACGGATGCTTCATCGATACATCATTTAACCGCTCCAAAATTGGATGATTGCGTAAGCCAGATTTCAAGATATATTGATAAATTGGAGAATCAGGTGAGAAAAACATGTTGCACAAATCGACGAAACAAGTGGCAAGCTGCCAAGTGATGCGAAGTAGAATTACATCACCTTTTGACGTAGAGACGCGTCATGACGTATTGTCCGGCTCTTGCAATGTCCAGTCGTCCAATGTCCATCCCTTTCTTGTACAATGTACAGTATCCTGACACGTTCTTACAGTCCTAACTACAGTATGTACTGTACGGACTGTACTGTACACTGTACGGTACTGTACCGTACTTTTACCAGGTGTCCTGATTTTAGACAGTACACTAAAATCAGAAATGACGCTGGTGTATTGTACTAGAAAAGAGCCATGACTGAGTACTATACCCTTACTGGGTGTACATCGTACAGTATAGGATAGTATACGCTGTAGGACTCACTATGGGTTCAGTATAATAACATTGGCGGTCTTGACAAATGGCGGATAATTCAAAGTTGGCCAGTTGTGGAGAAGATATCAAGATATGGAGCGGGATCGATATGCAGTTATTGCATTCATATAACCCCCACTCCAATGATACTATAACAGGACTAGCATGGGGTCATAATAGTAAGTTGTTACTAACCTGTGATAGACTTGCAGGAGTCTATTTCTTTCTATTTGAGCTCATCCTTTCACCCACTTGTTTTGGACTACTTTTTTAGTCGAATGTAAAATGGATTCTTATCAGCTTGCTTTGAAATAGTAGAAGGACTGGATCACTTTCGATAAACTTCATGGAAATATATACAATGTTAACTTGATGTGATAAAATGTCTAAACTAATAGTAGATGATCTAGCCAGAATTATATCTTCATAATTCATCTTGTAGTCAAGCGTACAATCGACAGACGCGTAGACCACCAACATCGAATAAACTACCTTGTGGATATACAGTACTGTACTTACTACATTAGATCGTATTGCAAAAGAACTACCTTTTCAAATATATTTGAGGTCATGAGTACAGCTGAAAATTGCCAAATAGCAAAATTAATACTAGCTAACATGGATTTCGTCTATGCCCGTAGACATGTACAAATAACGATTCCATATCTAAAAATGAATTTCTAACTATTAACATGCGTACATTGTAGATCATGTCATGTGCAGCACGGCAAGTGAATCAAATCGTATTATCATCTCATCCATGAGAGGCTCTCCTGTTAAACTGATTGAATTAGAGGCTGAGGTAAATGATGGCAAATAATACAGAAGTAGTCAGTATTCAATGTTCACGTTTGTTTTAACCTACTGGCCTACGTTACGCGTACAAGTAATTTAGAAATGAATTGCCTGATAATTCATATAATCGTGATGTTATTCCGTTTACGAAACGACATATTAATTTAAAACAAAATACGCACTTGGATGTTTGTTTATAACTTTGTAGCTTGTTCTGATCAGATGGTGTTGCTTGCAATCGAATAGGGCCAAGTTAACTGTGCAGCATTCAATTCAAACTCTCGCTATGTTGTCGTGGGATCGCAATCAGCCGAAGTATCTATATTTGATCTAAAGTCTCGTAGCATACAAAAAGTTTTCAAGGTAGATGATCTGCAATAATTGATGCAATTAGTTGATTATTTTCTTAGAAATACTTGAAAAATAGTTCAAAAAATCTCAAATGGGAAAGCGATAGGATGTCAACGCTAACGAAATCTCTTTAACAGAGTCATACGGATCCGATTACGTGTGTTTCTTTCTCCAATCGTGACCAGTACATTGCCTCTGGTGCCATTAATGGTCATGTAAGAATTGATAATGTCACTACATCACAATCGAGTTCGCCGTTAATTGCTGAAAATTGCCAGGTAATTAATCTTGAAGCCCATCTTGAGCAAGTCAACAATTTTATTCACTGTAACATTTGCGCCGTTTACACGAGCATGAATTCTCTAATATCGATCTATCCGGAAGTAGCTTTTACTGTAACTATTTCTCAGTAGTTGTTTTACATCGTTATTGCAAGCGCCAACCACTTGATATCATTTATCATAATGAATCGTAGTCTAGATCAGGACTGTTTTAGTGTTTATGATAAATTCACACTGACAAAATATTATCGCTTTCAAAACATCTAAGATTCATTGGTACAGTTATAACAGTTCTGCTACAAATAGCTTTTGCTGCAATTTTGTCTGCTTAATACATTTGTTTTATAAATGTTAAATGCTAAATGTTATTACGTCATGGTTAAACACTGTACTTATAAACATTTTATCTAGGCCATTCGCGCTCTACAGTATTCACACTTCAGAACTTCATTACTTGGTGTGGCTAGCGATAGCGGAGAGATTAATTTGTGGGATATAAACAGTATGAAATTATGGTGGTCATCAACTGATGCGCATTTTGCTCCGGCAACTGATCTCTCATTTTCAACTGTGAATGATATGTTATTAGCGACTGTTGGCTTAGATAAACGTATTGTCTTAAGTGATGTTAAATCGAAAAAGTAAGTCTTACTATTACGAGTTTTTTGGAAGATTATTGTGTCAATTATAGTAGGAAAGGCCAGCAAGACTATTAAAATATATTATTAGATTGTTTTGTTCCTGCGTTATTTCCTTTTCTGCTTATATAATATCCTTTTAAGAATCCTTATTTATATCACACGTTCTATTTCGCTTTACATTTGTTGCTTGTAATTACTTATCAGAGTGGTCAAAGTAATTGAAGCTGATGGACCGCTTTCCACTATCGATTTTAATACTGACGGAGCTACATTAGCAGTTGGAACAAGTCGTGGTTAGAATGAATACATAATACCTTCACTAAACCAATATTCTTTGAACTTAGTTTATATCATTGTTGCCATTTAGGTAAGATCATCTTGTTTGATCTTAGAACGGGATCTGTCCCATTAAGGAGTGCGAACGCACATTCATCTCGAGTTAATAAGTTGTATTTTCAAAATCAATTCGTAAAGGTGTGCAGTAGACGTATCAGCGCCTGTTTTATATCATTAATGCATACTGTAAGATTTCATTGCTCAATATTCGATAGGAACTTAATAGTGGTCGTCCTGCTAAACAAGTAAATATTAATAAAGCTCCCTCGCTACAGCATCCTGTTCAGAGTAGCACACCAGCTGTAGCAAGTTTATCTATGTCAAATCAGTCCAGAAAAGTATCTGGTGAGGTGAACACAGCACCCACTACTGGTAGAAGTGATTTGTTTTCACCAGTTAGAGAAGTTTTTGGAGGTTTCACATATTTTTGTGTTTTGTACGCTTTAGTTTCTGCTACATGCATAACATTGCGCTAACTATCTTCCTTTAGATACATCAACGGACGTTAACGTTTCGAATAACTCGCAATTCAACCGATTGCAACAGTTCGGTTGGTGATACTATTCATGACCTAGTTGGCAAACATGTAGTTCTAATACGAATTTAATAAATTCGTTACAAAAGTTAAATATAATACGCAAATTAATAGTGTATCTAATTGGTAGGTCCAGGTATCTTTTCACCCGTTAATTCCAATACAATCGTAACAACTCAATCGACCGATAGAGATACATTTGAGGAATACCGCGCGGCTAATACTGGAGAATCAACCATTAAGCAGGTATATTTAGATAATAGGAAACTCACACTTCGCTTCTTACTGTTTGATTTGGCGTCAAGCATTACATTCGCATTGCTATCTTAACTATAGTTTAAATTATATCATGATTATAGGAAAGATCGCTGGAAGAAATTAAAAAGAGATATGAGGAAATTCAACGCAATGGTAGTTATCAGCTGTTTTCTTCACTATCGAACTTCGTCCGTTCAAATAAATTGTACCGTTGCTATTGCTACCCATTTTAAATTGACATTTTTGTTATTCTACCTTGTGCTAGCTGATAATACAGAAGCATTAAATTCAAATTTAAATAACTCACCTCACCCTCGTATTGGCCATGCTAAAGTGAGAAGCAATTCCCGCTCACTACCAGAAGAGGACGTCATTAGCCCTGAATCCTCCAAAAATAAGCAAACTATTGCAGCTGGCTCGCTTACCAGAAGTGTATCCTCTAATAGTATCAAGACCATGCAGTCTATTACCGATAATACTACTTCTGACGTGAAGCCAATTCCGGATGGAGATGATTCACCTAAAGCACTCTTCAGGAAGCAAGCCTGGACTGAAGGAGATGAAAAGATAGAAAATGTAGAGTTTCCAATCGTTACTGCTATAGAGCCCCCAAAACAACCAGATAAGGCTAGTGCCTTTCAAAAACCGAATGATACGGAAACAATTCAACCCTTCCAAACTGAATTTATCAAAAATATGATTGATGATTCAATAGAAGAAATGAGGTTGGAAACGATATTGTCTTCAGTAATTTAGATTTATTCAAATTAATGGTTATATTTAGCTAATTATATATCTATATTTCTAAACGATATTTGCACACATTAGAGAAGCCGTACATAGGGATATCGCAAATATGCATTTTGAAATGCTGCGACAGTTTCAATTACAACTAGTAAGTTTATCGATCCACTTTACAAAAGTATCTCTCTCTTAAAAGTTTAACTACTATTTTTTAGGACGAAATGAAACGGTCCATTAAAGAGGCTTCAGTTAATGAAGAACTACTAGCTGAAGTTGAGAGACTTCGGACTGAAAACGAAATGTTAAAAAATAAGCATTAGGGTGACATTAGGAATAGAAATGAACACTACTTGATGTAACTTGCTCTGGCTAAACTGTATACATACAAATATTTCGATTAGTTTAATAATTAATGTAACTATAAATGATTCTGTACATAAACTCTTACATTTATTGAGACAACATCGTACTTATGCCACCGATAAGTTTCAAAAAATATGGCAAACGCCAAATCATTAGCTACGATGCAATATTTTTGTTATTATGGGTGAGGACGAGTATTAGGATTGTGACAATATACTATTATGGTCATACTTGAAACTGTATTCTTACATTATTATAAACCATTTTGTCATATAAAAACTTATACTGATATAGGGTATTATTTGTACTTGTGTCATTGTGCGGTATATTATAATTCGTTGTTTTGATTAACTATAACTCCATTATGTGATCTGTTGCATCTCCTAGAAGATTATGCCTAGAGCGCAGTCGACAATACTCATCTCATTTGGTATCAATATAGCTAGAATGTGCTACAATTGATACCATCCTCTTGTTCTTACGATCAAAACCGTTAAAAATTCAGATATAATTTTATAATGACTTTCACCTAATTAATTACTCGACTTTGAATAATTTATTATGATTAATTGCTTATATTTCAATGAGTACTAATACTGTGAATGCGATAACTGACCATAAAATTACTTGCATAGATTGCGATAAGTGAATTGTACTGTATTCTAACGTATCATTAAAACATGATTATAAGTTTGATGAAACCATTATCCTACGTCTTTTTGACATTTATTAAACGCTTTCTTGCTGCTGGAATACTAGATGCGTCGTATATTAAATTTTTATGTAAATAAAGATCTCAACAATAACTAATTAAATTGTAATTTATGTCATCCAAAGCGTTTTATCTTTGTTGCTCGGATGTGTTCAATGTATGTCGCTACCGGAATGATCAAATACAATGGTAATCATCGATCCGTTAAAGTATATCTTTTGCTTTATTTTAGCCGACGTCAATATCGTTAGCAGCTATCTTGAGCCCACTGAATACATATGTTACTTCATAATGGATTGATATGCAACAAATGTTGTATAAAGATTGTATAATCATAAGTTAGATCTCTGTAGGTAGTCTGACGTCATCAAGGCGATTTACTAATAACTATAAAGCTTACAGAGAAAATTAACGTAGGCTTTTGCCAGCGTCCAATCATATTATTAGACTTAACTATCGATACCAGTATTTCGTGTGTTGGTGTTAACAAGGAATAAGGCACTGTAAGAGAACATACAGTCTGTATTTGCTACAATTTCATCAAGGGATGATAAAAATTGAACAATAATAACTATAGAAATTACTGTATAATAATCGCCATCCTAATTTACCGATAAGTAAAGCAACCTTAGATAGAAATCCGAATCTGTTCGTAGCAGATTAAGGTTACAGGTAATGTAATTATCTTGCTACGACTGTAATTTAGCAGTAATAGTTGCAGTAAATAAGCTATAAATAAATTTAAAAATCAATACAATTTTTTCAATAATACTCCAATTGCTAGAAATAGGGTTTCGATCGAAAAGATCTGCTATTTCTGTTAAAAGTAAGTAAAGTACTCTTTGATGAAGGCGAACAAAGCAAGGGTGGCTCTGATTTCAATAGTGGCAGTGATGATGGTAAGAAATATGAAAAGCGAATTATAGCTGATGGCAAATCTATCGATTACATTTGAAATGCTAAAGTATTAACATACTAAATCAAGCGTGCTTGATTACCTTGATTAGTTTTGCATATACTCTTAAATTCATTGAATATATATGAGCGTAGAAAATAAATAAATGGAATGATATAAAATTTTTTTTATCTTCAATGCGCAAGTTTTGAGGATATAAATACACTATTTCTCATAAGATCGGAGGCTACAGTATAGGAATTATCTGGCCTAACATTTCACCTCATGGCTATAGGATTCTACTTCATATTATTGATGCTTTTAAATATAAATTGATAAATAAACTTTCTTGCATCTAGAGATTAGTAAAATTGGCTATTATTGGTTACTACTAATTGCTTTGAAATGATGTATATTACATTAAAATTCGCTGCACATGCGATGATTAGCTTTATGCACAAAAACTTCATACTACAATAAAGTTAATATAGCTACAATGCTTGACAGTTTGAATTTAATTATATCATCGTAGCATATGCACAGGTTGCATTAAGAAAAAGTTCAGGAAGATCAAGTGGAGTTAGACAATCACAATTTATACAGAATTTTTATTATATATTAAATCAAGACCGTTACTCTTCGTTTATGCTACTGGTGCAATATTAATCAGTGGCGTTTTTAACATTTGTATTTCGCTTCTTGCTTAAAGCTGGAGAACAAGGTCTAGCATACTTGATATTTAAAACTAAACAAGTACCGCTTTTCATATCGCTTAAGGTCCGTATAGATACCGAAGCATTTCAGAGTATATTCGACGATTCCTATACAGGTAAAACTCTACAGCATACAGCTATTATAAATTAAGATAGAATTATCTCATACTGTACAAACAACCAATTAGATCAGTTGTAAGTTATTTTTTAATTTAATTTGGAAAGCTTCAAAGATCCATTGCATATTTATTCTAGGCAACCAGTCTTCACGAACATGCCATCATGATAAGCCATGTCATGCAGGCATATGTATCCATGAATCTAATAAAAGTAATACTTTTTGTTTGTGCTATCAGGGCTATCAAGGAGAATTTTGTGAGATAGGTAACTTGAGAATAATCAATTATTTACGTAATAACGAAAATTTTTCGACATGCTTAATCAACATTGACATATACAGTACAGCAGGCAGTATCTTATGGAATTGATTAATTTGGTTATCTGAATTCCCGTAGTTAGTCATCAAATTGATCGACCATTAGCCTGCTCCAGCAATCCGTGTATAACTGGCCAGTGCATTGATATTACTAATGAAAGTAGAGAAAGGGCCTTTATTTGCTATTGCCAAAAGGGACTAGAAAATGACACCAACAAAATCAGATGTTATCAAGGTTAAGATTCTATTAATTTAGTAAAAATTAACACTATTTATGTTATTGAAATAATAATATCATAAGAATCTAACCTTGGAAGTAGTTGGCGTATCTAAATATTAATTATGGCTTATGTAGTACCATGTCAAAATCCATGTATAAGCAATCCATGTCGACATCAGGGCCTTTGTCAAGCTATCGACGATGAACAGAACCCAACTATGCTATCCTACAAATGTAGCTGTTCTCAATCTTACCTTGGCCAAGACTGCCAATTTCCAAGTAAGTTAATACTGTTAATTATAAGAGGCATAAATCTAATAATTCTTGCTATAATCGTCTTAAATTCTAATACCAGTGCAGTATTTTAATTATGCTTTACTCTAATTTGAAATAGATCCTTGTAATTCATCGCCATGTTCTCATGGTACATGTATTGGTCAAACTGAAGATCGATATATCTGCTTATGCAATGATGGATATACTGGTAGAAATTGTTCTATAGGTATTTCTTTCGTTATTGTTCAATTAACATACTAAACATGACTCTATCGGTTATAGTTTAGAAATAACTATAATTTTATGATTATGTTGATAAGAACTAGAAAATGATGTATCATTTCTGTTAGGTATCCTAATATAATGAAATATTGTATCCGCATAAAATTACATAATTTAAATCCCTTGTTTCAGAGGTCTTGATGGATGGTGATTTGCGATTAGTTGGTGGCCACGATCACGATGAAGGCAAAATCGAAGTTTATTATCGTGGGTTATGGGCTGGAATATGTGATGACTACTTTGATCAAAGGGATGCAAATGTTATTTGTCGTCAGCTCGGCTACAGAGCAGTGATTGATTACTTTTGCTGCTCAAAGTTTAATGATACCGAAGCTTATGGTTACACATCAAATCAGACTTTATTTTGGCTTGATCATTTGGAATGTGAAGGGCATGAAAAAAATATCATGGAATGTAGCCATGAAGGTTGGGGTAATCATGATTGTTCCAGTCATGAAAGTAGTGGAGTTCGATGTACAAGTGCGTACCGATCTGATAATGCATAAAATGACCTTTAACAATTCGTATTAAATAAAAAATTTATCTGAAATATTAGCAAGTCGAACACGATATTTATGTTGCTTTTACTGCTTTAGATGATGTTTGTAAGCTAATACCATCATGCATTCACGGTCATTGCATTTTGCATTCCAATCACTCCGCATATTGCAATTGCTACCCAGGTTACACTGGCAAGGCTTGTGACATCGGTAAAAATTCTAAACTGTATTAACTCTATTAATTTTGATAACTTCTGTATATATATATAAATTTACATCAATCAGAATCACATAAAACCAAACTAAAGTACCAGGATATAATTGATTCTAAGTTCATAGCTGTATTAGCTCTCCTTGTTCAGCGAATGCAACATGCCATGACGAAATAGATGGTGAGTATTCTTGTCAGTGTCCGCAAGGCTATTATGGCCCCTACTGTGAACAAGGTAAAATAGCAAGGTTTTCACTCCATAATAAGGGCTAATAAGCGCAAATCAATACAGACTGTGATAGTAGTCATTTGAAATGATAATCTTTTATCCTTCTATCTTTATCAAATGATGTATCTGACGAAGAGTGTAGGACAATTCATTCTATTTTTTCTCTTATGCCCTAACAGAAATTAGTTACAGACCTCTACAAAAATTATAATTATAATCGATCATGGACTTTAGCTTAATAGATGAAAAATTTAATAGAGTATAGGTGTTTTCAGGTGAAGTTTTAGCAGATTTTCTGGTATTGTTTATACAGGAATACAAAGATTCGCCTCTCAAAATTATAATTATAGTGGATATTGCTAATCCAGTTTCTTCACTGATACTGCGATATATGCATATATGCAATTATTATGAACGCTTTGTATTTTGAGCTCTGGATCGCTAGCTTTATATTTTTACAAGTTGCCTGTAAATCTTATATTAATGCTGCAAATCCGAAATTTTTTTTGTACGAAATTTCATGAGTGCAGAAGAGTCTGCTATCTATGTACAATGAACTGATTTTGTCACCCGACCATTTCATCATATCAACCGTCATCTATAATTGCATTATTATCCGGAACAGACTATTCTAAGTCATGCAAATCTTGCTCCATATTACAATTACATAGTCAAGGCACATTACTGCGATAATTAGTTGTAATCACTACATTATACGAATTGCGATTGATACCTATATTTTTCTATCATTGCCTTAGTTCCTTTAAATTTCTTTAATTATGTAATCACTCATTGCTAGGATTAGCTAGAGACCAAGATCTTCGAATGGTTTATGGATACAATCAGAATGCTGAAGGTCTTATTCAAGTATATCATGAAGGACTTTGGGGAACAATTTGTATCGTTGATTTCGATATTAACGAAGCAAATGTCATTTGTCGTCAGTTGGGATTCCAAGGTGCTCTATTTGCTCGGGAATCTGGTTTATCTAATCAAATTGGTCATGGCCGAATATGGCTTAGTAAACTGGTTTGTAAAGGCGTTGAACGATCAATTAGGGACTGTTTTCAGAAACAGTGGACTAGAAGACATTGTGAGCATTCTATGGATGTTATACTTAGATGCACAGGTACTATGCAGGAATATCACCATGTATATCAATAATCTTAATAGATTGTACAAATTGAAAAATTAATTAATCATCTCTCAGACCAAAAGTGACTTACGAGTATCTTTATTAACAGATAATCCATGTTTTGTAAGGGGAATGTGCGTACATGGTCAATGTGTATTAAATAACCATACCTTCTATCTCTGCCGATGTAATCAAGGTTATAGTGGTATCAGATGCGATCAAAGTTAGTTGTAATAGGCGTGCCTAAACATATCTTGCAAATATAAAGGGAGCACCGTAGTATCGACAGATGATCGACTGGCAATTATGAATTAACCTGTTAGATAATTATAATCACTACTGAAGACAGTCTTTTAATACTCTAAATAATCTTTTCTCCAATAGCTAATCAAACAGATGGCGCAATCCGATTAGTAGACTATAGTACTGATAGAAAGAAAAGGCTAGAAATAGTTAATCAAGGAGTATGGCTGCCATTATGCTATAGTCAATTTAATCGAGAGATAGCACGTGTAATATGCCACCAGCTAGGTTATGCGAAAATTGATTCTTATGAAGCCTGTCAAGATTCAAGTGGCTTTTATGGTGGTAAACGATATCCTGATTTAATTTCTTGTTCCGGATCTGAGTTATCATTAAATCAATGTATGCATTTTCCTAATGTATTGCCTAATTGTCAAGATTTAGCATGCCTTCAGTGTAAAGGTACGTACGTGAATACTCTATAATTTAACCATTTCAGGACAAATTGTGCTACCGTTTATCAAATCAATAATTATGGTTCTAATTGGCATTTCTATAGAATTAAGTAATCCTTGCTTCTCATCGCCATGTCTGTATGGTCGTTGTAGCCATCATCAAGGGGTAAATTCTTATCACTGCTTCTGTCAGGAGGGTTATACAGGGAAGCATTGTCAACAGTGTAAGAATTTTATTGGATCCTTTTTATATAAAATTACTTTTAAGGAAATATAAAATATTATCATTTACTTGAGATCAATTTCCGGTTTATACTGCTCTATACCAGACGACTATTGTGCATTTGCTAATTGCACATTCAATTCTACCTGTATCAATTTTGTAAACGGCTTTAATTGCCAGTGCCAAGGTGGATACTCGGGAATTAACTGCCAAAACGGTATAAAATCATTTTTAATTCGCTTTACTCGATAAATATAATTATCACATACCTTACGTAGCTAACTATGAAATTGTTCTAGAGTTAAAAAATGCCTTTATACTTATTTTAAGGTATAATTATATAATTAGGACCAACTGAAAATGGTCAAGCAAGATTAATTTCTTATGCTAATAATGACGATCGAGGACTAGTTGAAATTTATATTAATGGAAGTTGGGGGACAATTTGCGACGATTACTTTACTATTGATGTTGGCCACGTCCTCTGTCGTCAACTTGGCTATATCGGTTTCGTAGAATACAAATGCTGTTCCACTTGGGGATCGGGTCGTGGTAGAATTTGGATAGAGAAAATAAATTGCAGTGGAAATGAAAATCACATACTGGATTGTCGTATCGACAATAATCAAGATCAGTATTGTAATCATAGAGAAGATGTTGGCATCCATTGTACAGGTTATACTGACGATATTCTAGATTTATAGATGTTGCTTATGTCTGATAAACTCTCTCATCATATGAATCTAAATGTAAATATTATTACCTATCAAACAATAATTCGTCAATCATCAAAGTGATACTTCTTTCTAGATGATCCATGTTTGGCTTTTGAAGAGAAATGCTCATTCCATGGACAATGTCAAGCAATAAATCAATCTAGTTACCATTGTATTTGCCAAGAAGGGTATTCTGGCAGTTTTTGCGAAATATCAGGTTAGAATACGGACACAGTGTCTATATACATTATGCTAAAGCACAGAAATCACTTTTATACGTATCGGAGGCTACGTTCAAAATTATTGTCATGCAAGATTATAGAAAAGCTGAGAATTATAACTAGACAGTATGCGGGTTTTAATACATGTGGGATTTACGCTTGATGTGTTTATAGTTATGCAATTGGGGAAGTATTCTTAAATACTAAATATGGTTTAAATCTTAATTTGATTCCGTTTTAATTACGATACCAAGGATCGTTGGTTTTAAGAGTGCTAATTATTCTCAATATAATCTGCAATAAAAATACAGTACAAAACACTGCTGATCCATCAACAAGCACTTTAAATTATGCTGCAAGCTCAAGTCTAGGCGGGTATTTTGCTAGTAGAGATCTAAAATACAGTTATTCAATGTATCGCGATTTGATATCGTCCTTTCCTCCTAATTTATGTTTTAGAATAACTGCGTCCACCCCATACTACAATCGATGTGGACAATTAGGTAAAGTCACTTTCATAATATCGCAAAATCCTTTTTGTTGCCTATAATTCAAAATAGTATAAGGAATAAAGTTTAATGACTAGAATTAATCTAATTCTTTAAATTATAAATTGTAGCCTTGCCATGTGCAAGTTCACCTTGCTCTCAGGACATCAACTCTAAATGTATCGACATTATCAAACCTTTCTTATCCTTTACTTGCCTTTGTTTAAATGGCTACTTTAATGGGACACGCTGTATTAATGGTATAAAAGCAACAAATTAACAATACTCAAATTATTTAAAATAAAGATGGTAAAACCAGTTCATACCGTTCATAGTTAATATAAATGTTCCAGCAATTCATGATTGTCTACGTGCAAGTCAGTATAAATACTATTATCAGCTGTAAGATTTAATAAGATGTTCTTGTAATATCATTCAAATAAATGCCTTATATTTATAGCGAATTTATATATGATTTAGAAATTACAGTTAGCCACATTCAAATTCATCCTAATTTCTCTATGGATCAATCCAAGCAAGTAATTGCCTTAGAATGTACAGCATATGGTTGGCCATTACCAGCTTTATCTTGGTGGATTGGTAAAGAAATGATTACAAGTAGCTATCATGCTACTCTTGTTACATCCAATCCTAAACTGTACCAAAACAAATTAACTCTGATTTTTAAGTCCTTTTCGTCCGCTGATAATAATGGGAGTTATTGGTGCAAGGGGATAAACTCTATCAGTGAAGCAAGATCAATTAAAGATATTACGTTAGGTATGACGTTATAAGTTAATGGGTCATTACTTATTAGAGTTCTCAAGTATGCAGTGAAATTTAAAATATAGTGATAGGCTAGATACTTTAGTAACTGCTACAATCGACCTTTCAGCCGTATAAGTATTAAATCCCTTAAAATTTAGCTGAATTTCTACTTAAAATTACTTTTAGCTATTGATAACATTTAGTAAAGCATACATAAAACAGTTTCAGAATAAGTTCGCATTCCTAATAATTCCCCATTAACTGTAGCTTCGCGACACCAGAACAAAATGAAATCATCCATTATAGTCAGATTTATAGTTTACAGAAATACTAGTTCAATTTTTTGCACCCTAGCATATTCTATAATATCACTTACCACCTCACATTTCGATGTAAATGATCTTCTTAAGTCTATGAATCATTCTCTATGTATCTGTCAGCATAACTGAAGTAATACAGAATTAACTAAATTATAGATTTCCGTTCTGAATCTCATTGGATTCACTCTCAGTAAGATATCTTTGCTCTTAAAATTATTACTGATTTGAAATTGCTATAATTTGTGCCACAAAAAATTAGGAAATTGTCACCAAAGTAATATCTGCCTGCATGGAAAGTGCTATCAGCGTAAAGGTCGCTTCTACTGTTCTTGCGATAAAAATTATACAGGAAATAAATGCCAGACATGTAAGTTTGTTATTGTAGTAGGTTCACATTAGCGTTTACAATATTTACGACGTATTTATGAGGTAAAAATATAGAATAAAGAATCTTTTTAGTATATACAGTTAAAAAACTTAATGCAGCTATTTTCAAGGCCTGTAAACTTATAGGATTAAATATTACTTCAAACAGTTCTATGTGACCTTAGAGTTGGCTCTAAAGTGGATTATTTTTCATGTAACAACAGCGATGGAAAACCAAACTGCAAGTATTGCAAAATCTAAATTTATACCATCAAAATTTTATGACTTAAGGTTCATTTTACCATACCTAGCTGTAGTCATGGAACAGAAACCTGGTTTGTAACGCCAAGTAGCAAGTATTTACTAACAGGTACCATTCATATATTGATAAAGGTAACTATGCAGTAATTTTTCTCTAACCCACTCTCCGCATGGTATAATTTAATTACATTATTCATATTAGCATGGAAATAACGAAATGATCCTTGCGCTGTATCCTCTAATGTTCTATACATACCCAAATTTAACATTGCAGTAGCTATATTAAAGCTGTTTTAATGCGATTGGAATCTGGTTTCATCATATACAATTTTATCCATAAAGATAGGGCAATTTAGTAGCTAGCTAAAAGTAAATTGCAAAGTAAATTTAAGAAATCCTTAAATCGATGTTAATTATCTACTGTAACAGAAAAGTTTGAATTAAGATCTTAAGCATTTTCTATCAAAGCAATTGACTTCTCATATTTATTATCTATGACAGGCATAATCATTGGAGGATTAATAGATGCTATGGCTATCTTGATACTACTTGTAATTGGAGTGATTCTGTATCGACGTTTCCGTCGTCAGTCTGTTCCACGTTATTTACTTGATGATCAAGACGTTAATGAGCTTCTTTAAATCCCATTAATTGCAACATAACATTAGCATTTACTACTAATTTCGATCACATTTTCCACATAGACTCTGGATATAAATTGACCTACGGGAAAGAAGATCGACTTTAAAAATTATCAATTTAAACAAGGTCTTTTCAGAACATAATAAATCAAAACTGTACTCATATGTACTCTTTTTAGATTATACTTTTTAATTTCGATGCGAATTAAGGTCATTAAAAGGCCTATAGCACAATGTCTCTCTAATTGTAAATTGCTTTAAATCGTGAAAGAATGTTACTACTACCGTAATCTTTGAATTGTGTTGCACTCTGCAGCATAGTTATCCATAATTTTATGGGGCGGAAACTGGATAAGTATGGTTTGTACCCATATAGTGCGTTTTATAGCGCGTTATAGGTCGCCTGTAGCTGCACTTATTCTAAATCTGATAGACTTAACTAGTGACTACGGCCCAGCAGTAGGCATAAAAAATGTTTGATAACAAACATAACAGGAACTTGATTCAACTAATAGTTATGAAAGCGTAAAATATTCGTAGAAGGTTTACGTAAGTCAACGAAGACAACATTGCAATTGACAAGTTATAATTTTCGGGCGTTTACAATAAGACTCTAGCACAATGAGATTGTTGACAACACTATTTTATTCCTAATAGGACATAATATCGTAATTTGAGAATCTTGCAGTAAAATTACGGCTCCTTGCAATGCAATACTGAACACTTGCATTTATGACCTAATGCCAATCTAAAGCGAATAATTCCTATCAACATATTTCTTAGTAGACGCTATTAGGTAGATCAGAAATTCATGTTGTATGAGTACGACATAAGTTTAAATAACTCTAAAAAGTTGCTCTTTCAATAATCCTGATTCTGTAACCGATGCTTAGCTATGCAAATGTTACAGCAATGCCGTTGCAACTAGCAGTAATGAATGGCATCGCTGTAGCACAAGACAAAGTTAAGAGTTTAGTTAAGCTTAACATTACAATTGAGATTTGGGTTCAACCTTTCCAAGTTATTTGGTTTTGGTGGATTAATATCATAAGGTACTATGAAAGCGGTCAGAGAATCTCATCAAAGGCGGTAGAGTATCTGCAACAAATTTGGATTCTAGTTTAATAGGGTTCATTTTCAATTTACTTCAACAATTTTCAATTTACTTCCAACAGTATTCATATCGAAGATCTACTTATCGGATATAGTATAGTAATATCAATCTAATATTGGCAATGGTTTCAGTTGCGTATAAAAGTGAAATTATTAGGCTTTCATTACCGTACTTGAAATTAAAATATACTGATAGAGTGCATGCAGCGTTAAACTCTGCAAGTCGCTTTCAGCCATTAATTTTATTGCCATTATGGCATAAAAGTACACTAAATTATCATCAAGTAGAAAATACAATAGAAAATAGTAAAGTAGACCAATTTGCAATGGCGCAAAGTCAAAATGGTAATCTTGATAGGCAGTGCACAATAAATCTCTAGCAAGAAATTTCCAGTCAAGGATTAAGACATTTTAACTTTAGCCCCATTACCACTACATAACTTTGTTATTTTCTACCATATTAAACATATTAATTGAACAGCAATGACAAGGAAAACTAAAACTAAAGCAAATACATCTACTAAATAGAATTGATGCCATGGTATATTATACTCTTCCGTACGTAAATATTCACCGCCATTGCAATTTAGCGCATATTCCATCCAATCGCTAGCTTCTTCAGCAGGCGTTCTACTATTCGGTCTATTTTGAATTAATTTCGAAATTCTAAGAGTTCTTTTCTAAAATATCTTGTCGTGTTGTAACGTTGATAATTGCATAATACAGATCATCTTGCGTCATTCCTTTTACATTTAATACTATTCCAACATTTTTAGCTGCTATTTTAGGCCCATGACTGGCTTGATCACCGACATCTGGAATACCGATCATAGGTACACCATGATAAGCTCCTTCGAGAATGCTATTTAAACCACAATGCGTAACAAGTACTTTGGTATTTAAGTGACTAAGGAGATCATTCTGTGGCAACCACTGAATAATTTTAATATTTGAAGCAATACTTTGCGGAATATCCTCCGTATATTTCCAAATAACATTATACGGTAACCGGCCAAAAGTATTAAAAAGCATTGCAACATTACTGACATACTTTAATGCGGTTACTACCGTACCAAAAGAGACAATCTCTGTGCCGTTAGGATTCTTCGATGCAAATTGTTGTAAATCAGAAGGTAATGATTGAGCAGGTTTAGGGAGTATAGGGCCGACTACTTTGGTAGTCGGTGTAATTGAACGAGGATAATCCATAGCAAAGTCTGTATTGACTAAAAGAAATAAGGCTCGACTATACACTAAATCGGGAATGCTATCAATGCCTAAACTAGTTTTCTTTACTTCTGCAAACATGTAAGGTAGAAAAATGAATGGACTAATGTCGATGTAAGATATGAAACAATGACGTTATTAATAATACGCTGATGTAATGTCATTTTGTTGGTAAATGTGAGTCCAAGTTGTGGAACATAAGCCAACGGATTAGGTATATGGTAGAATCCAGTTACGAGTAGATCGGTAAATCCAAATGCAGCAACAGGAACCAAGACCTTAATGTTTGCTGCTTCAGTAATAATTTGGCAAATAGGGCTGGGCTGCTGATGTCGTATAGAACTCCGTCTGCTAATAAAATATTAATGATGAATGTCTTGTTACTTGACTGCTAAACAAACATTTTAATAGATTTAAATTTAATTTTTTAATTTTAAATTTAGTCTATTATACTATCTTGCCCATCAAAATTTACTCGTAAAAGTATCAAATCACTTGTAAATAACGATAAAACATTTGACGCAAATTATAATTTTATTACTAAGTAGGAGTAGCTGCTAACGTGAGAATCTTATTATTGTATAATTGCATGAGCGAACTTTGTACTTATATATCCTACTGTTGCTATTCTAACTACTCGTCCGTAAAGCTTTTAATATGACCATAATCTTCATTCAATGCTGTCTTATTAAGATAACTTTAGCATCTATAAACATGGAAACTACATATCATCGGTTTAGTTTACGATATTTTGGAATAAGAACTAGGAATGAAAAAATCAGAGCTGGACTGTAATGAATTATCCCTTGAATACAATGAAGTCATTTACCATATTAATTGAGGGGTTTACTATTGTTTAAACAAGAGCCAATTTTTTGGTATCAAAAATACATTAAACTGGCAATCGCTTGAGTAAAAAAAGGCGTTCTCAAGCTCTTTAAAATAAAAATAAGCGCTTTACATTAAAGTTACTGAGTATCAATAAGGTGTTAACCCTATTTGCAATAAGATGTTCTAATCGAATCAGATATCAACTGCCTGATGATAAAACGAATCTATTGGATACTGAATAGGATGCAAAGTCAGTAATTCTATTTGGGGGAAGGGTGGTGAGCAGCAAGAATGGTGGAATTGTTGAACAGACTATCTATTAGATGATTCACTACCTCATATTATAATTGAATGACATATCATTACCGAAATTTTGACTTTTTATATTTTCTAGTAAGTTTCTTTCTTTGCTAAAAGCAGGAAGGTCCATACCAGCGTAGATATGGCATGGTTGCAAATAAACATCATTATTCTCTAAGGAAATGGCCGTACAATTTGCTAAGTGTTGCTGCGTTACTGGAGTTTGATAATATTGAATTATATATTTTTTAGGAGGCCGAAATTGAGCCGCTGAAGATACTACTATCATCACATTATGGACTCGTCGATGTAATTCATCACCAATCGTTGCTACCACATGAGCATGACTATGATAATATTGAGCTACCTGGAGTATCTTGGCTGATTGGCAATGGCGAAGAAGAGCTATCAAAGCTAAAGCCAAGATTCCAAGTAACCTCTATACGCTTTTTTTGGTTGCCATTCTTAATAATAGTTTGTTTCTATTTTTTTGATCTTTTGTACTTGATCCTTTAAATCAATCTTTACGTTAACAATCCTTTGATCGTTTTTCTGTTGGCAATAAGCAACTCAGCGATTTAGATTGCCATATTAGGTCAAGACATCTTAACTATCCTATGAGCCTTATTAATAACTACTGTATTATATATATGTTCTATATAACATATATAGATGTATGTCTAGCTATGATTTGCTATCCGTAAATTATCTGATCGAGAAATTTTGATGGCTGATATCATTCACTACGCTCAATTCTTCCAGTAATTAATTACATGAGAGTATAGCATTACAGTGGAGCTTATGTTTTTTCGATGGATTCTCTATAGATCAAAGACGCATAATTAATTAGAGCTAATTGGATTTTTTTTCAGTAGTACTTGCGCACTCTAGTGTGTCCTATACTGGATTGGACAACGCTCTATGATGCTATAAATATAAATTGAAAGCCTGAAGAATGTGTTAAAGTAGCCTCAAAATAAGTAGAAAACTATTCAACTTTATCAGATATGCAGTAGAAGTAGCCTAGACGGGTATAAACTGTAAGAACATGCAAAAGATGATCCTATCATACTATTAAAGAATACAAATATTGGTCAGCATTTGAAGAGAAACGTCATTTGCAGTGTAAACAACAAAATAAGTCCAGTCTACCTACTATTTTTACGAGAAACTGCAATGTTCAAGTATCATCCCTATCCAGTCTATTAGACTCTCTTCTTCAAAATGTACAGTAGACAAAATCAGCCCATCCAATATAACAATAAGCCTTTATAAAGTCTTTAGGGGCTCTACGCTAGCCGCTATAGCGCACTATTAATAAAAGCAGACATTGAATTTTATGTTCATTTGTCTATAATTCTACATAGATCCAATTGTCTACAGCGGCATCCTATACTGTATAGGAAAAGCGTATTCAATTAGAGATGGTAGGGAAATTATCATGGATGCTTGTCGCCTTGATTGTGATTAGTTTAACTGCTATCCCACGTCAAGTCCGTTCTTCGAAAATATTGTTAATTGCCCAATATTATCATAGCCATGCCCATGTTGTGGCAGCCATTGGAGATGAATTACATCAACGAGGTCATACTGTTGTTATGGTGGCAGCATCAGCAGTGAAATTTCTTGCTCAAAAGAAGTTTACGGTGAAATATTATAAAACTCCTGTGACACAACATGATTTGGCTGATTGTATTGCTGAGGCTTTAAAGAATAATGATAACTTGCTCTTGCCCTGCCATAAGTACGGCAACCTTGATTTGGCCGCTTTTAGTCATGAAAGGAAACTACTGGAAGAAATACGAGATCAAAAATTCGGTAAATCTCTTATTCAATCGTCAGCATACAATCGTTTTTAAATCAGTTATACCTGTAGCGTAAACACTTTCCACAAGAGGAAGCTCGTAATCGAATTGACAAGTGATTGTATAAGTCAATTTAAACTTAAAATAATAACCCCTAATTTAAATGAGTTGATTACCGATGGGGCAACATCAGCAGTTTTGTATCGTTTTAATCACATACAGTAGTGGAACGTTTCTATTCTCGTATACATGAATCTACAGAAAGGTATCAGTAAATTCTTGCAAGAGAAATTGATCTAAACTTCATTTAAATCGTTACATTTTCTTTCACCATGATCGCCCTTTAATTAGATAATACAGGCGAGCAGAAATGTTTACTGTATTCTATAGATCTCATAAATTGAAAGGCGTTTATAGCAAGAGCCTTTAATGCTGTCCTTGTGGCTAACAGTTTGATAGGGAATATCAGCATTATTTCTACCTTATAGGACTTGTTATGCTTATCAATATTCAGCGACGGTAAATTTAACATTTAATAGCATTAGATCAACGTCATTAGATAGAGAGGATAGCTCCTTAAGTATACGTACGACATACTAACATAACATTGAAATACTCGTAGACTAGTCAATCTGACCTTAAATGTTGCGTAAACTTTATACTGTTATCTGCTGCTAATAGGTGAAAAGATCGTTTTTCTCACTTTAATCGATTACAAGGGTAAAAAAATAAAGTGGCTTTAATGAAGAAATAGTTATTAATTTCAATTACAGATTATTCTTACATAGTAAGCGTTGACACATAAGATGTATCAATTGCATAGTAGTTATTTTTTGTAGTTCGACGTAGACAAGTAGCACGTGAATAAAAAGCATAGGGAAGCCCTACATCTTCACAGTTTATAATTGAGTATGGCTAACTAGTTTAAAGCACTCTCGCATAAATACATGTATGGATGTTACAGTCTACTGTTTGCATATAGCCCTGTGTTGGAATATATAAGAGTATCTACCTAAACGAGAATGAATACTGTATGTTAATCATAAACAGGAATAAAATATTCATTACTAATATCTTTAAAAGTTATCTCAAGTTAAAACGCTGATAAAGAAGCCCTAGATCATCACAGCTTTTACCTGAGTATGGCTAACTAGCTTGAAACACTCTCTTATGAATACGTGTACACATGCTATGGCCTGCTGGTTGCATATTCATTTGTATTGGAATCCATAAGGCTATCTACCTAAATGAAAGTTAATATTGATTGTTAATCATAAACAAGCATAAAACATTCATTACTAATTTTATTAAAAATAACTTCAAACGCATAGCAAGTACCACCCCTAGAATTACAGTAAGATTTCATTTTTCAATAGAATATTACCGCTGTCTTGTCATCATTTTGCGGTATTAGAATTAAACTTACAACGTAGGGAATTATTAGCTGGCATAAAACAGATAAATGCATTCAGGTTGGCAATCACTAGCTAGCTAATAGATAGGCGTCTTCTCATCCAAAGCAATAGTATCATGTGCAGTTAGTGAATCTTTTCTAATTCTTTCAATTGAATATCATTTCATACGTTAAGTTAATGTGATCTTACGGTTTGCTTTATAATGAAATATTTACAATTTGCTTCATTTCAATTTGAAAGATGGAGCTCTGTGCGATATTATTAGCCCAATTTGTCAGATTATAGCTGATTTTGCTGACATCAAAGTCGTTGTTGACGTTGCTCCGGTTGGATTTGGTGATCCATTTATCTCAGGACCATTCCATATTCCGAACCCACTGGCTTATATTCCCCAGCTTGGATTTGCAGCTAGCAATAAAATGACCTTATATCAGCGAACGATCAATGTCATCATCTACTACGTTGCAAATGCTGTAGCGCATTTAGTTATTTTGCCCCAGATGTATAATGCGATGAACACAAGCAATCTAGGTATTAATTCGACTCCTTTGTTTACTGAAAGGCGATCATCATTCCTTATTGTAAATACAGACTTTGCTATTGATTATTCTCGCCCGATTACCCCGACCTCTAAAGTAGTTGGACCTATACTTCCTAAGCCCGCAAAACCATTGCCTGATGATTTACAGCAGTTCATGGCGAGCAATCCTAAAGGAACCGTGCTAGTCTCGTTTGGCTCAGTCGTAACTGCCTTAAAGTATGTGACCAATATCACTATGTTATTTGATACCTTTGGTCAGTTACCATATAATTTCATTTGGAAAAATACAGAGGAACTTCCTGATAACATCGCTCCCAATATTAAAATTGTGAAATGGGTACCACAAAACGATATTCTTGGCCATCCAAACACCAAGGCATTTATAACACATTGTGGTATGAATAGCCTTCTTGAAGGTGCATATCATGGTGTACCTATGGTTGGGATTCCAGTTGCTGGTGATCAAGTAATTCACGCAACAAAAATATCATCTAAACACGTAGGTGTAACACTCAATGTTAAAGAAATGACACAAAGCGATCTGTATTATGCAATTATGAATGTTACTACCCGACAAGACATCATAAATAGTTCTATGCAAGTTTCCAAACTAATTCAAAATAGACCGAATGGTAGAACGCCTGTGGAAGAAGCTGCTGATTGGATGGAATATGCATTAAATTGTGATGGTGGCGAATATTTGCGAACTGAGGAGTATAATCTGCGATGGTACGAACTGCATTTAATAGACGTTTATGCAGTTTTATTAGTGTTACTTGCGATTATGGTTAAAATTTTGCAGTTGATTTGGAGAGGCGTAAAAGCCCTCTGCTGCGCCAAAGCTCCTAAAGAGAAAATTTCATAATGTAAATGTAGCTTATGCTTGTATTTATTTACTCCTAAATTGATTGAGATAAATAGCTATGGGTCTCTGTTAAGTAAAATATTGGCTTTATTCTATACAGTCAAATATAATTATGTAAAACTTTCACGCAGACTTCAATTTATGAAATCATTTCATGTATTACAGTATTAATATGCCAATTTTGGTCACAGTTACTACATTTAAAGGCATCTATTTTACATTCCCTATTTGTTCTCATATGCGTTCATACTCATGTACGGATAGATTGAATATTATGTAACGCCTCTGTAAACTACAGTTTATTTTTAAATTATAATTACCACTGATATCAGCTAGACTAGCTATGTATAAAATTGCCATTTTTAAGTACAGGTGAGGTTCAAATTTATTCTTAGAAAGTTCATTTGTTAATACTATATAATATAGTTAATACTTACGATCATTGGTAACTTACTTTTTGCATTGAAAGATGATACATCGAATACCCCATTAACGAATGTTGGGGATAATTTGCTGTTGAATATAAGTTAGAGTTAGGATATTTGCGAGTAGTATAACGAGTAACTTGGTATGGTATTCAAGTTGGCAGCATTAGATTGTTAATATTGACCACTAACATAAATATAGTAATATGCATTGATCTCTCCATTTTCTTGCCTGTTATGCTATTTAAGTCAGACATATAATAACAAGCAAATGACGAAATGTTATTCCTGAAGTCGAAATCTTTGATAGAATTCTAAAATATCCAATGCGTTAAAGTGGCATTACAACACTCTCTTCGCTTCGTTGTTATTAGTGGAATACATTGTCTTTCACGTTTGAAATTGCAGCAAAATTACCAATATGTAGAGATGATTTGATCAGCACAGTATTTTAGTCCTTTTAAATAGAAATTTTGGTGATACTATAGCCTACAGTAGGTTAGTTGTTCTGCCTCAATTAAAGGATTACTGTAGGTATATGTATACTAACACCAACGCAAAATGATCAACACATTTTTCAAACATCGAAATGCTTGTATAGTCAATCAATTTCAATCCTGTTATAGTAACTTATTACACTCTTATTTTTCTCTATATCTTGTAATTAAGTATTGTAGAAAGGTTTACGCCAAAGTCTACTAGTTCATCGGGTGGCATTGGATGAAACTAAAATTCTATCATCCTATTTTCACTTTATTACAAAAGTTTCTTTTTACAGTAGCTTGTAAGTAATATGATGGACATCATTTCATTTATACTACAGCCATATACTGTACAACAGCTTGGCCATCATTGTATGAAGATTGCATAATCTCAGTACTTTGTTTTTTTGCATACTGACTATTTGCATAGGAAGGAAAATGTTC